GAGGGGGGATTCTTGAGGGAGGAATCGCCCCAGGCGCCTACCCCGGCGGTTGGTACCGCTGCACCACTTGCTTGCTTGCGGTGGCGGGGATCGGATCAGTGGCCCTTGGGAGTGTTACGGAGGAACTGGCACAGCTGGCTGTGGCGTTACACGGCAGCGCGGTCGCAGACAGCTCATCGGTCACCTACGAGTCGAGGCGGCGACGGTGCAGGGCAAATGCGGAGCCGCGGAGGGCGACGGAGTTCACCCAGGACGCCTGCTGGCAGGTGTTGGGGTTTTTCGGAATGCTCCGGAGGAGCGAGTTGGCGGCCCTGACAGTGGGCTGCGTTGAGGAGTTGCCGGGAGGGGGTGTAGGGCTGCAGATCGTACGTAGCAAGACGGACCAGAAGGGAGCGGGGACGTTGGTGTGCCTGGCAGCACTCACCCAGAGCGGCATCCCCATTGCTCGCATACAGCGGCACCTGGAGTGCGTGCGGACGGCCGAGGGTCACTCCCCGCTCTTCGTACGGGGAATCACTGGGCCGGGTAAGCAGGGCACGGTGTGGCGGCGCGGGGATTTCACTAGTAGGCTGCATGTGTTGCTGGGTGAGTTGCAGGGGTACGAGCCGGAGTTGAAGCTAGATCTCGCTAGGATATCGGCCCACAGCTTGCGCAAGGGCGGGGCCACCGCGGCTGCCAATGCTGGGGTGGGTCTGGAGGAGATTAAGGCGCACGGGCGGTGGAGGTCTGATGCGGTGCTGGTCTATATCCGCCGGTCCGTTGCGGTGAGGCGGACAGTGGTGGAGCGAATGTGACGCGACTGGGTGAGGGGGGATGTTTCGCTGGGTTAGGCGTGGGGCCAAAGTAACCCAAGCGAGGCCGTCGGCTGCCTGCTGGTTACCAATGCGGAAGAGCACGGTAGCCCGGAAGGGCCGCACGAAGTAGCATGCGGGCTCTGGCAGGCAGGCTGGGCGTCTCTTCTCCCCAACCATATGTCCACGTCCCCGGTGCCTTGTTCGTATTAGTTGTACTGTAACGAACGCGTTTTGGGTTTCTCGTCCCGGTTCTTGGTCTGGCTAGCTGCTCAGCCCGGATTCAAAATCTTATTTTAGGTGTAGCCGAAAATGTGGTTTGAAGAGGGGCGTCAGAGCGGCATCGTACGGTGCGGTTAGTTTGTTGTTATTTTGAACTGCTGTTTGCTCGGTGGTGTTTCGTCTTGTCGAATTATCTTCCGGGTGATCTCGGACTCGGCTGCTGGTTGATACGAGCTCTCTTTACCTGAACAGCTGCTAGCTGCCGCTGTTATTGTCCGTTGGTCAGCGGTGTGGTTTTGACGACCTTTCTATCACTGCAGTCAGATCACCCTTCGTTTTGTCGCTGAGGAGGAAGCTGTCGTGCGCGTGTGCCGGGGAGTTGCGGGAATTGAACCCACGACCTCTCGCACCCTAAGCGAGAATCATACCACTAGACCAAACTCCCAAACATGCCATCGTTGTACGACACAAACATACCACAACAACGCAAGCCGTACATACACACACATGAAAACGCACGCATGAGACTCATATCTTGTCACCCTGGCGTCACCGGCCCCTGAAACTAGGGCAGAAGAATGTAAGGAGCGCTATGCATGTATACAGAGGTTTTGTGCGCATGAATGATTTGTGATGCGAATAAACCCCCCACATCCATGTTGTGCAAACATCGGAGGTTACTGCTCTATCTACATTAAAATCCTACCCTGCCGCACTTGGCCCATCCAGCTACCAACTCATAGGCAGGGCATATAGCAGCATCTATCTGTATCCTTACAGATCTAGTAGATTGCAGCACGTGGCAGATGCTCGCCTGGTGGCACGACTGACCTTGCGGAAGCGTGGAGCTTAGGGGCCTTGCTGAGGCGGGAAGGAGTCCAACCCAGCGACAGGCACTAGCTTACATAGACAAGATCGAAGCAACTAAGACGGTGGCAGCAGAGTCTTGGACTCCGAACACCAAGTAGTCGTGATACTGAAGTGCCTGGCCAGAGCACCCCGCCCGGGTAGCTTATATCTTGGCCTACCTGCCGGACGAATCTCTACTACGGTCCTGTCGTACTGTACTAGGATACTGTCGATGGGGCCCGGGGCCCCAGCCTGTTAGGTGTCGCTACGAACATCCGATAT